GGCTTTTAAAAAATTAATTGTGGGAGCAAATTATATGTGTATAAGGGCCCTTATATGAAGGTGGACCTTTCACTTTTCGCACCCTGTTGTGGACAAATAAATGGACAATGTTACGGTTTAAAGTTATTTTAATGTAAGCCAAAATTACTTTTATTTTTCAACTCGTGTAATTAAACGAAGTGTTTAAATGATTATTTTATACTAAAAGTTGTCTATGTATCTGCCACACAATAAAAAAAAATACTAGGATCATTTTATTTGAACCTGGGTATGTTATATTATGTGTTAAATTATGAATTTAAATTAAATACATTTTTATAAAAATAGGGGAAATATAATGCAATTGTATAAACAGTGTACGATGTATGTAAAATGAAAATTAAAAAAAAACGAGGGAACTGGGTCATAAAGCTCTTCCCCGTGTATATACGTAACAATATTAGAGCTTAAATGTATCTTTATATACGATTAGAAAATTTTATTGTCAAATATTATTGTTCTTATGTCAGTAAATATAGAGTCAATTATAAATGTTACATATCGAATTGTCATTAATTTATTTCAAAATTTATATCAAATTTATATATAAAATCTATATTGGCGGTCACAGTTTGACGATGACAACAAGAACCGAAGACTCTCTTTACTGGTACGAAGAATTTCGTTTTAATCCTTAGGAGGGTTAATACATCTATATTTTGATTCTTAATCGAGGATGTGAAATGTATGTCTATAGGTCGCAGTAATTATTTAGCTCTGTAGACTGGTCTTGTATGATTTATCCATATTTCTATAAAAATACTCCTTTCTTTATATACTACTGCAATGCAGATTGACGTATTTATATATTACATCATCATCATTACAGCCCTTCACAAGTCCACTGCTGAACATAGGCCAAGTAATGCCACAAATCACGGTCCTTAGCCACCTGCATCCATCGACTTATTGCATGTCTTACCAGGTCGTCACTCCATCTAGTGGGGGGTCGCCCTACACTTCGCCTACCGTTACGGGGCTGCCACTCGAGAACCTTTCATCCCCAACGGTTGTCGGTTCTTCGAGTTATATGGCCGGCTCATTGCCACTTCAGCTTACTAATCCGTTAGGGTATAACGGTCACTCTGGTTCTACTGCGGATATACACATTTCTAAGTTTATCACGCAGAGAAACCCCGAGCATAGCCCTTTCCATAGCTCCCTGAGCGACTTTGAGCGTCCTCATACGGCCAGCAGTGAAGGACCACGTCTCGGTTCCGTAGGTCATCACTGGCAACACGCACTGGTTGTACAACTTAGTTTTTAGGTTTTGAGGTATACCTGACGAGAAGATGTGTCGTAATTTCCCGAACGCTGCCCAGGCGAGTTGAATCCGTCGATTGACCTCTTGGTCGAAGTTGGACTTACCTAATCGGACTATTTGTCCCAGGTAAACGTACTCGTCAACAACTTCGAGCTTAGTGCTTCCAACAACTACGGGCAGTGGTGTGACATGGACATTAAACCATGATCTTTGTTTTGTTCATGTTCATCTTAAGACCTATCCGTTGGGAGGCACTATTGAGGTCATTGAGCATAGTGCTTAAGTCCTCCATCGATTCTGCCATAAGGACTGTATCAACAGAAAATCGAAGGTCAGTGATGTACGCTATTGATGTAACGTGGGATATAACGTCACCCTGTCTTACATCTCTCTGCAGTTGGATAGGTTTCGTACTCTGGTTCTGTACTCGGATAGCCATCGTAGCCCCACTGTACAAACACTTTAGCACTTCGATATACCGACCGTCAACTTGGCACCGCTGAAGATCGGACTGTAGCACCGCCCAAATTTCGACGGAATCAAAGGCCTTCTCATAGTCCACATACGCCAGGCAAAGTGGCAGATTGTACTCTTCGGACTTCTGTACAATTTGCCGAAGGGTATGTATGTGGTCTATGGTACTAAAGCCTTTTCGGAAACCGGCTTGTTCAGGAGGCTGGAAGTCGTCAAGTCCGTTTCATTCATTTATATCACAATGATTTATATATTGATTCACGTATTTCATCTTCACTGATAAACTTCATTTCCTTGCGATAGTTTTTTTAAGACGAAACTTTGATATTTCTAGTTAGGGTATATAATTAATGTTGAATAATTTTCTCACATTAGTGTTATATCTTGTATTCGGCTTAATATAAGAAGTCAGATTCAAGGAGAGATTGCCTCGTTTCCAGTAAAAAGGGTATCCAGTTCTCTACACTCACCATACGAAACAGCAGCATTAAGCTGCGTTTTTACGCTGGTATTCTGTGAGAGAGTCCTATCCCTGTCGAGCCGATCCATTAGTGTTACAACTACAATATAGCTACAGCGTGGCTCTACCACGTAAAGTAGTATGATAATCATAAGAAAAATAGGATTCAAGTGTTAACGACGTTGCTTTTAAGGCCGATTTTTCAATCATCAGATAAGAGTTATTTATCAAATAAATTATAATCTGACTGAATATAAAAGTCAAACAATTGAACTGTTTTATTCAATACAACTGTCATTTTTAATTTGTTTATTTTGTGTTTTATTTAATAATTTAAGAATAAGTTCCTAGAATAATATCCGCACTTAAATTACAATATTAATTTAGGAACTAAGTAAAATAAGAAATTTGAGAGGCTCGAAACCGATTAAGGAGTTAATGACTATAAAAAGAGATACCACATTACTGATATTTTTAGGTATTTTAATGGTATGTGCTTATTCTGTAGTAGTCTTTAAGCGCGAGTTATTTTATAGAATATTGGCACTTAAGAATACAAACAAAGTCTTCATCGTTTTACGCAAGTATTGCAACCATCTGCCGACAGTGGAGGAAAGGGGCTCGGGGACTCTCGAGTGTACATACAACACCCGCAATTGACTCCGAAGTATTACATCTCGAGTGTCCTCTTGTCACCGTCCGTAAGTGCATTGTGAATGCAACTGACGCATTTTGTATGCCTACAAATGCGTCTGTAATACTGTTGGGTTGAATGGAGCAAAAACAATAGAAAATACAACGAAGTTTTTGCGATTTGCGCGCGAAATTAAACTTAAATTGCAAATGCATTACAATATATATTTTAATTAATTATTAGACAATAAATTCATATTGTAAACCGTAAGTAAAGTAAATAAAAAAGTAAACTTCATGCAGCATTGAATCACTAAAACTGTAAGTATAAATTAATGTTCCGTGCGGGATTCGAACCCGGCTTTCAACTTTATTAATCTTAATAAATACTAAATAGATTAACTTTTTTTACATATTATTACAAGGGTGTAGGTCTAATAGTTTTTGAGTTAGGGGGTGATTCGAAAGTGGCTCTAAATGTTTTGTATAAATAATAAATATATGTACACACTGCGGGTGTCTAAATGCTAGTGTTAGGTGTGGTTCACATTTCAAACGTATTCGAACCCACGGTTTTGTTATTTAGCCGTCCGTATCGTTAACTGTTAGGCTACTATCGTTAACACTAGCAATACAAATATTCCGATGGGAAACGCTTACCTACTGGTAGATATCACTACACAACTGCAAAATGTTTTTTTCATTTCGTTGAACTTACACTTACCGCCTATATACGTCTCACTGCTGGGCCCAGGCCTCCCCTCATTTCTGAGAGGGTTTTAGGGCAAGGAAATGTTCGCCGCCCTGCCCCAATTTGTGTTGGCGAACTACACATTTCTTAGAAAATTTTTTTTCTTATTCCTCAGACATGCAAGTTTTCTCACGATGTTTTCCTTCACCGCTAAGCACGTGGTAAATCAGCACTTAAAATAGCAATTAACAATTTCATTGGTTGAAATAATACTAGTTTTTACGGAATTTATCGAGTATATTTAATTTTTTAAATACCCGACGTTTCGAACGCTTTACAGCACTCATGGTCCCGGGCGGGACTGAGATGTTCAACGTCCATATGTCATAGTTAATTTCATTGGTGCCGGCGGGTATCGAACCTGGGCTACTCGCGTTCTGTTTCATTTACAGCAAGCGTTAACCATTGCGCGTAACGTATATGAGCTACGGCAGAAATATGTAAGTAGAAGAAGTAAGTTAGAGTGAGTTGGGAGAGCCTTTTTTGCCTTCCGGGTTTCTTAGGATTTCTAGACAAAAAAGAAGTCCAACCACCAAGATCAAAAATGGAACAATAAATACTAGAGAAAAGATAATACATTTTATCACATATTATACTGTAAATTGGTATCAGTTTACCTTTCGATAACTTAATAAACTCAAGATGAACCGCGCGCGCTTCTTCGCGAATCGCTCGTTCGTTTTGAAAGCCGCAAATTTAATTCTGCGTTTACTGTTGAAATATATTGCTTTTATGTAACATAACTCAATTCTATTATTGCTATAATGAAAGAGAAATAAGAGACTCACTTAAGTTAAAATGAACGGTATACAAACGAATGTTATAAATTTCCAAGTTTTAAAACAAAAAATTGCAGAAACAAATTTTACTCCGCTTATTTCAGGTAAAATAGTATGTAAATACAGGCCAGCTACTATGAAAAGGGACTAAAAATACAACAGTCTGCGAAACTAACCAGGTACGGCACGGTTCATTAGTCGCCCGGAATCAAGTTCTCTTCATGAATGGAAGTTTTTAAACTTTGTCGTAGAAATGCAAAGAATCTCTTTACATTCTGTTTGCTCGTTTTATAATGCACCCGTTTTGTTTCAATTCGTTATTTTAAAATATTTCTTTCGAAGATAACATTATTGGTTTTATGTAGAAAATATTACTCTATCCATATGGTGTTAGGAATATAACGTTATATCATATAAGTTCTTGAACATTTAGATTAAAGATTTGATTCTAAAAAATATATTAGTTACTGAGAGCACGTTTCGAAAACTTTAAGTGACTTATATCTCCATTATCAGATGCAACGATTGTGTTGCAAGTCACTAAAGTAAGAAAACTCGCAGAATTATAAAATAAAACCATTATTAATATGTTTTTCTTACCTGACTTAGACTGTCGCCTAGGCTGCCATCAGCGTCAACAGGTGGAAACAGCTGACTAGCTTCTTTAATTTCGCGTCTCGGCTTCCGATCCTGTGCTTCTCTCATAGCTTGACTCTGAAGTCTTTCGAAGTACTCCCGAGGTTTCATCGGAGGGGGTTCGTCATCGGGCGGCGGTGGAGGTGGTGGGGGCAGTCTAGACCGTGGTGAGCTGCGAATAAGGGCTCGCTCATCGTCCTCTGTAGATCGCTCATCGTGATCCGAGTCAGAACTTCGACTGTCACGATGTCTTATGCCTTGAAGATGGGGCTCGAGGAATGTTGCATTCCTGAAACAAAAAAAAAGAAATAATGTACTATCATAATCAATTAATAAAGTGAACTAGTATAGCGTAGGGGCCGGACGGGATTTTTAATATATTTTTATTTTCTGTTTTTTTTTTTTTTTTAAGTGCTAAACACAACATGTAAATTTCATTTAATATTATAAATGCCTTCTATATAACTAATACAACCAAATAAGCAGTAATACAATTTTGGTGTAAGTATTTTTATTTGTTCTTTTTTGGAATAAATACCATCCTATATGATTATTAACCAAATGTTTTCTAACGCTTATTTATTGACTTTCACCCGCTTAGTTTTAATTTAAAAAATAAGGCTAGTTCTATCAATTAAACAAATACATATATTAAGCAATGCAAACTTTGTAATACGATGTCACAATTTGCGTTATTAAATTCATTGGCATCCATTGACAGACAGACAATAATGGCAGTAATGCAATTTCGGACCGTTAACCGTACCTAATATTAAATCGATTCGTGTAGATATACCGACGTGCAACCCGGTGCTGCACATGGGGCCCAACTGACCAGACTAAAGGGACATTAACTAAGATTTATTTCCTGAACATGGCGGGCGTCGAGTATTAATTAAAAATCCTCTACACGAGGGCTCGTGAACACAAATGCGTTGAACAATCTCTTATAATAATTACATAATTTTTTAATGATACCTCTTCACAGTTTCACATATAGTTGCGTTGAATTTTCGCATGTCTAAGGTATAATATTTTTAACGTTTCTCATTAAATGTTTTAAGGCGTAAAATTAGGTAGTAAAAGAAAAATAAGGGGAAGCACCACGCTCTCACGGAGTGTCGTAAAGTTTCATATAGTGAATGTAGAGACCGGAAATCATTTTAACTAGAAACGAGGCCATTCCATTTTAGTTCTCAGGGATGATAAGATATCTCTGCTTTGATTCTTAAGCGATGATAGTTGTTGATGTTATGGCCCACAGCATTCATTTACCCACAAGTGGATTGCGTGCTCCTTAAGGCTACATACTCAATTGCTGCTCAATTTTAAGGTGTCGTTTAGTCTCGTGATGTCTCTGTCACTTTAAGTCAAAGTGACAGTGTGACTATTTGGGCGTGATTCTATAAAAAAATAACCTATAAATAAAATATCCGTTAAAATACTTATTGATTGATACTCTCTCATATTAAATAAATAATTTGGAATAAGGTAAAGCTATTTAATATATGAAGAGTTAATCAAGTCTCATATATTTGAGATTAAAAACCATTGTGGTAACAGGGTTTCGAGTTGACGTGCTGGTAACACTCAGTTTGTTGCGATGCCCTCGCGATCTCCCGATGTTTCATAGTTATCTTTAATGAGAATATCGCGTGTCGATCGCTTGAAGCGTTATACCATCAGAGGGTAAAGTTGTTATTTAAAATGTCCTATTACGAATTGTGTAAAAAAGATTCTTTTAATGATTTATGCTCTGGATATTTTTTTATTTTATCTTGACGTAACTCATTGCTTTCATGAACATATCAAACAAACCTAAGTTTGTTTGATGAAAATTCGTAATATTCATAATATTCCTAATTATTTGCAATTAATTATTATGCTAACATAATTAATTGCCTTTAATTATTATGCTAACATAATTACAGTCTTAAATGTAATTTTAAGTCTCTGTCACGTATTAAGCATGATTAAAATTATGTTATTTGCAATTAATTAGGATGTTAGATTTTGATGATCTATGGTGAGAATCATGGAAATAAAACAACGGATTTAGGAACTTAGGCATAGTTCTCACGATGAGATGTTAATGACATAATCCTAGTTTTTACGTGGTAGAGCCACGCTGCAGCTATATTATGGTCGTAGCACAAATGAGTACACTCAACCGGGGTAGGACTACGCTCTCAATACTCAATACTCAATAACTTTATTGCATTCCATAGGTTACAAAAGGTGTTACATAGTTTTATTGTATCTCTATAGACCCTGATGGGCACAGCAATATTATGAAGGAGGAACATTTATTTTGTTTTATTATTATTATTGTTAAATAATTATTTAATATTAACATTCATTATATTATATAAACATACACACACTAAATTTAGAATGGCATTTCATTATTACTTAACATATTTATATTTATATATCTATATTATATTATATTTTTATCTTCTAGACATTCAGAAGTACTATAATAACACTTGTTTATAAGTAAAGTAAAGTAAAGTTACAGCCTATATACGTCCCACTGCTGGGCTCAGGCCTCCCCCTCATTTCTGAGAGGGTTTAGAGCAAGGAAGTGTCCGCCGCGCTGCCCAAATGCGTGTTGACGAACTTCACATGTCTTCGAAATATTTTTGTTTGTTTGTTTTTTTATAAGTAGTTGCTTTAATTTTTTTACAAATGGTTTTTTGTCTTTAATGTTTTTTTATATATTCGGGTAATTTGTTATATACTTTTATAGACATGGCAAATGGGCTGGATGAATGAGATTTTAGTTTTGAAGTTGGTAGCACTAGCTTGTTTCTCTGTCTTAGATTCCTCTCTCACAGAATACCAGCGTAAAATAGCAGCTTAATGATGTTGGTTTGTACGGTGAGTGTAGAGAACCAGAGACCATTTTAACTGGAAAGAGGCTTTCCATCTTATACCTCAGGGGTGACAACGCATTAGTGATGAGCAAAACAAAGACCAAGGTCTAGCGTGTTCAGTCTTGGTCTTGCTCATTCAGTCTGTTACTTACTACTTATAAGGTTTTGAAAAAAATTTAAGGCTTTTATACGTATAAATTATAAATGATCATCAATCAATATCCATATTGTATTAAGCCTTATTTTACAGTAATCAAACAATTTTGTCGTATTTCACAAGCGATGCTTTTGAAAACAACCTCCCGCTGGGACAGATGTAACAGAAATTGACAAAAAATCTCAAAGCCTTTATCTCAAAATAGGAAATTGAAACCAGTATAGTATTGCTAGTGTATTTATGATCTTGGTCTTAGTCTTGCTCTTGCAAAATCGTTAGACCAAGACCAATACTTCGACTCCAAGACCGATTTTGCTCATCACTACAACGCATCTGTATTTTGATTGTTAATCGAGGGTAAATGTAGATATCTATGGTCACTCTCACTATATCCATTTACCATAAGGTGAACTGTGAGCTTTTATGTCACCCTTATTGCTTATAAAAAAAAAAAAAACATGAGCTGTTCACTAATTTTCCATTCAATCATTAATTTCTATATCAAAAACTCGAATAGCATAAATCAACATGGCGTTGTTACGATATCGTTAACACCGGATAACCAGCACATCCACCAAAATCAAAAACAAACAATGCGACACCAAGCGACAAGTGCCCTTTGTGCTCAATAGCGACCTCTGGCGACAAATCAGCAACATCACACTCCCCCGCGGTCGTTACGCCGACGCCGGTTGATGACCACCGTTATTAATAACGCTATAACTCCACGTCAACTTTGTCGCAGGTGTACCGATGGACAGACTAATTAGTTTTTCATGGGATGCCACATATTATGGATACACTTTATACCTAGAGGAATACATTATAACAAGGTGAATGAAATTTATTATCATTAATATGACAAAGTGTTGTAAAATTTGTCTGTAACTTAATACAAAATGGGCGGACGTAAACATGAGAGTGGTCGTTTTTATTAAGATGGATACAGTAAATAAGAAAATATTTGTATTCGAAAGTAGAAGAATAATAGAGATAGGAGAAAAAGAGGCTAAAATTTTTGATTACTATGCACCAAAAATGTCAACCTGTTACGATTCCTGTATTTAAGAAACGTTTTATTCTCTGTAACGACCCGTATTTTTTTACATACGAGGTGCATGTAAAAACAGTTTATATTATAAAGTATTCATTCGACAAATTAGAATGCTACTTAAAACGCTAAAAGAAGTAGGAAGGGTTTTTAAATTTTGAAACCTGTCATAAAAGTGACACTTTAGCTGCTGTTTTGTGATTGCGTTTTGACATTAGTCGGAAGGATAGGGATGCATGCACCTTAGACCGTTTTCTGCAAAGAGAGTATTCAATGTTATAGTTTACTGATTGATTGCTATGGCATCGATGCAAGGTCTGCCTTATTAAAGACTTACCGATGTCGACATCACACGTATTCCTTGATTAATAGTGGCAGAGCCATGCTGCAGTATATTAATTGTAGCACGAATGGATCTGTTCGACCGGGGAAGGACCACGCTTTTACAGAATACCAGTGTAAAAGAGCAGCTTACGACTGCTGTATTTCGTATGATGAGTGTAGAGAACCAAAGACCCTTTTTACTTGAATTGGGGCATTCCATCTTAGTCCTCAGAGTTGACAACGCATCTGCATTTTGATACTTAATCGAGGATAAATGTAGACGTCTATGAGATACAACATCCACTTACCATCAGGTGGACTTTGTACTTGTTAGTCACTATTGTTCTATAAAAAGAACTGTCGAAATTATTTATTGTAGCAATATGATTACTTAAATTTTCGATTATATGAAAATACATACGAAAAAAAATATGACGGACAACTATTAACTATAAAAGAGAATATGTTAATGTTTTGGGCAGACGTATCGTATCGCAGTCGTGTCGGGAATAGTATTTAATGAGTGGATACCCGGTTAACCCGGCCTTACCCGGTCAAACGAACCCATTCAAGATATAGCAGCACTATCGTGGCTCTAGCACACAACATCTGGAATTAGATGGATTAGCGGTTATATTAAGTTCAGTAGAATAATCTTAAGCTAATAATAGTTTGACCTAATTAAAAAACCGTCATTCTGTAAAAAATATGTATAATACATACAAATATGTATAATTAACTAATTAGTGAGAAGAGCTTGTAATTCATTTTGCGATATTTGAATCTAAACAATATTAAATATAATATAAATAAAATTGAAGTGTTCGTCTAAATATATGCCTTAGATTTAGATTTTTTTTTCATTAACATGACATTATGACATGCATAGCCATGTTTAAAATTTTTGTTTGTCCGAGCTGATCTTCGCAATGGCTAAACCAATTGTAATTAAATTTCAAGAACAGATTGAGAGCAATTCCTGAAGTGAGCTAAGCTATTTTTGAAAAATAAAACCAAAAATGGCTAAATTTAATGGTCTTTGACTATGTTTAATCTAAATAACGCCACATTTATAAATGCCACCGAGGCGAAGTTATATACTAAATGTTAATCTAAAAGCTATGCACTAATAATAAATTAAATAAAGTATATAGGTTTTTTGAGTTTCTTTTAAACGATGATAGATTTCAAACATTATAAAGATGTATGTACGTAACATGAGCCGTGGTAGCTCAGTGGTTAACGCTCGCTGTAAATATAACAGAACGCGAGTAACCCGGGTTCGATCCCCGCCGGCACCAATGAAATTGTTAATTGCAATTTTAAGTGCTGATTTACCACGTGCTCGGCGGTGAAGGAAAATATCGTGAGGAAACCTGCATGTCTGAGGAATAAGAAAAAAATATTTCGAAGACATGTGAAGTTCGTCAACATGCATTTGGGCAGCGCGGCGGACACTTCCTTGCCCTAAACCCTCTCAGAAATGAGGGGAGGCATGAGCCCAGCAGTGGGACGTATATAGGCTGTAACTTTACTTTACTTTACTTTAATATGTACGTAACATAATTATCTCTATAATGTTTGAAATATTTTGTCCAATAATAATCAAGCAAGTCTTCTAATCTGTCGGTGATTAAACAATGGGCTTTTGAAAGGACAAATCAAACAAAAGAAACGAATAAAAGATTTTTTCATTAAGATAGTTCGCTAAGGGCCAGAACCGTTTGTAGTTGAAAGTCCAAAAATTTTCGCGAGATAATTTTCCTTTTAATAAAAGGGCCTCGAGGCGAATAAGGCCATCCGATGTTGCCGGGGATATAAGGACGGTGCAGCAATCTTTCAACCCGGCAAATGTGTCTGAATCTGTTGTTTTGTTTGTCGTGGGTTGAGAACACCCCTAATGGTGTACTTTTGTTTTTCTTCATTTAGCTTCTTGCCTGAGGCTCTTGTCGTTGTTTCGCTACACAAAAGAATTCCGGTCTCATCCGAACAACTTTGGCTTAATTTCATGTAATTGAGATCTTATTATATGTGCTGGTTCTGATCTTTTTTCGTCTTCAGTAAGATGTTCATTTATTGCACTCAATTCTTTGCTAAATAATATTTTATATTGATAGTATTAGTAGATATGAAGATGATACATACATTCGTCACAAGCTTTATCACACATATACTCAGTATTTATTTTTCTGCTTATGTAATAAGTAAGATATGTGCATGCACCTATATTTAAAAATAAAAGTCTATGTAATATGAAATTCGTGATCAAAAATAATGTTCATTTGTGTAATCAAGTAAATACTTTTCTATATAAACATTATTATTTCTTTACAACAATAGAAGAAGCGTTAGGATTGAAATACAGTCGTAGGTGGATGCTATCATCGAAATGAATTCTAAAAATAAAATCCAAGTTACATCACAACAAAATTATAAAAATTAAGGGGAAATATAACCTCAAATGGCTTACCTAGATCCTCCGTTATGCCGAAAATATTGCAGCATTAATTTTGAAATAAATATATGGTAAAGTTGAGGATTAATATTAAGGATTATGTTAGACGAAAACACGATTCCATAAAATTTTCTCGATAGAAAAAAAGTCCAAAGTTACCTTCAAAATAAACAATAAACCGCTGTTTTATAAAATATTTTAATAGGATCATGAAACTTTGCATACTAACTGAACTAATTGTAAAGCAGTGCTTATGTTATTTACTTTTTTTAAAATACCATTGTTTTCACTGTAAAAACAAATTACCTAAACTATTGGCTTCTTGAAGCTTGATTCCTGCCGCCCGGTTAGTTTTAGTCAGTTTCGCTTCGGCCTTTGAAGGGGAGGTTGTGTCGCTTACGATCAGAATACACATTACGCAACAGGACGACGTAAAATTAAAATCGGAAATAACTGTAATAAAAATAAGAAGCGACTAGGTTGGCGTTAAGAAACAGGCATAAATATGATAAACCTAATTAAATAAGTATCTAACGACCTATCTACTTACAGTATTAGTGATTACAAACATGTCGGCACATAGCATACGACGCGCGGGGAAGTGGGGGTGAAATTAGAATTTGAGCTAACTTACTATATCCTCTTAACAGTAGATTGGCGATTACAGTTTGGAGGAGTTTCCAAGAAAGTTATTTACTTCAGATTTACCCGTTGATGTGGTTATGTAAAATTAGAGTAAAAAACAGAATCAGTAATTTGCTTCGTGAGTGTGGTGGTTGTACGAGATTTCACCACCTAATTTCGTCCCGTGTATGTCGCAAAAGGCGTTGCAGAAAAATCTTTAATTTAGCTAGTTTAATAGATAATAAAAATGACTCAAACGAAAGACCTCCAACTTCTACAGTGGAACTGTAGACCCTAAAAAATCAGATCTTATCTTCCTAACAAATAAATATTTAGTTTCTGTTGCTTCAATATCAGGAACATGGTTTTTACCTGGTTCCAAATTCCGCTTAGAAGACTTTACCAGCCTCCGTGAAGATAGAAATAATGGTTATGGTGGTTGTTTTGCTTAAGAAAAGCCATAAAAATCTCACAACTTCCGTTAGATGGCAGGATAATTATCTAGTCTGGCCAAACTTAAAATCCTCAGACTTGTGGCAGGAATAACGTCTAATGTGTAAGACTTCTGGTCGCCCATCAGTCTGCCAAGCGTGGCGCTTACGGCAAGTTTTCACGACGGTGAAGGTGAACCAAGTCTACCGATAGAAAATTGCGGGCTGATGAAGAAAAAGGAAAAAAAGATTCTTTGTCTATCATTATAACGGCTTCGTGGCGCAATGGCTTAGCAATAAGTTGCAGTGTTATGGCTTGCAGATTCAAATACCGCACGGAACAAGTATTTGTATGGCCTACAAGTAATTGTTCTAGGTCTGGATGTTTGTCCTTGTAAAATTTATGTATTTCAAATGCGTCGACAATAAAGGAGAAAATCCTAGTGTGAAGATAACGTTAAAACAGTATAAAAAAGTCAACTGAGAATTATTATTATTTCTGTATAGAAGAAAATTAGGCCTACATTTAGTATGAAAGCAAAACTAAAAGGTTTTATATTCGGAAGTTGCCATTTAAAAACTAAATAACTTATTTTCTTACAAAAGCTATGACAAAAAGTTCTTGTGCACTTCGCAAGCAACTGTCTCTGACCTATATTTCATAGTCTGTTAAAACTTAACAAGCTAGCTCTTTATTTCAAGTCTCGTTTATAAATGTTAAGCTCATTTTTAATATTTTGTTCAGCCTTATTTAATAACAAAATTAATAACGTTCATTTATTTATTCTTTCACAATCTTAAGGAATAAAATATTACAAAGGGCGGACAGTAAGTCCGCCCATTGGCTTTCTTTACCGGTATTTTAAATTAATAATTTTTAATTTTATAAGTAAATAATAATACCGACTACTTATGATACTCAATAAATAACAAAAGAGATAAGTTTATGCATTATCATATTAGACTCTGTAAAAAAAACACATACATACAATCAACGCCGTCATAGGCCATACCAGGGCCATTGGACACACAAGTATTTGGGGTCCTGTTGGAAAGTAAAAACAAGCTTCACTTATCTTAAAATAAGGATCGTAACAATTATTTGTTATAAAATCTAATATTTGTAGTTGAAAATTATCATATTAAATAAATCATTTTTTTTTATAGTAGAAGGAGCAAACGAGCATGCGGCTCACCTGATGTTAAGTGACTACCGCCGCCCATGATCAACCGCAACACCAGGAGAATTGCGGGTGCGTTGCCGGCCCTTTAGAAAGGAGTAAGCTCTTTTCTTGAAGGTCCCCAGGTCGTATCGGTCCGGAAAAATCGCCGGTGGTAAACTATTCCACAGAGAGGTTGTACGTGGAAGAAAACTCCTTGTGAAACGTACAGTGGTGGACCGCCAAGCATCCAGATGGTGTGGATGGTATCGGGACGTTTGACGTGTAGTGCGTTCACGAAATTTGGCGGCTGGGATTAATCCGAACAATTCCTCAGAGCACTCCCCGTGATAGATGCGATAAAATACGCAAAGAGATGCAACATCTCTTCGCAGCGCCAGTGAATCGAGCCGATCGGAAAGCACTCGGTCGTCGACGATTCGAGCCGCTCTGCGCTGGATGCGGTCAAGTGGAAGAAGCTGGTACTGGGGAGCCCCAGCCCAGAGATGGGAACAGTATTCCATGTGCGGCCGAACCTGCGCCTTATAAAGTTGCAGGCGGTGTGCCGGCATGAAATACTGTCCCGCTCTGCTGAGCACGCCAAGCTTTTTAGAGGCCAATTTGGCCTTCCCTTCCAAGTGACCACGAAACTGCACGTCACTCGATATGTCGACGCCGAGGATTCCGATACTGGCTGAGGCAACAAGGGGAGTGCCTTGAAACTGAGGGGATACGACAAAGGGGTTCTTTTTAGCGGTTAACGCGGAAACTTGTGTCTTCTGGGGGTTAAACTGGACTAGATTTAGTCGCCCCCAATCCGAGACTCTGTCCAGCAGAGACTCGACTTCAGACACAAGTTTGTCCCGGCACTCGGAGACGTTTTCCCGAGAAATATTGGCTCGGCCGGTGTAAAGAGCATCACCAGTGCTGTCATCTGCA